ATGCCATCAACTCTTTTTGGACCTATTTCAACTAAAAAGTCCCTCGTCTTTTGATCAATGTGGATGTCCTTCCAATTTTCGGGATCTTCAAAATTCAAAGAAAAACAATTCTCTTGATTTAAATCTTCATATTAAATATTATCTACCTCATTTTGCTTTGATTCATCCACATTGGCAGGTTCAATCATTTCCTCGTTCTCTTTCCGTTCATCCACATTATCATTATCATTCTGATTCTGTTGTTCCTCAATCAATAAATTTTCTGATGTTCCTTCCTTCTCTTTTTGTTTCTTATTATTAAAGTACTTCTCCATATCTCCAGTCTGACTTCGAATTAATGCTTCTACTCTTTCTCTCTTTTTCTTTTTTTGAGCTCCAGATGCATATTTAGGAGCCATGGTATTTGATTCAAGTCACTCAACAACTATCAATAACCTGCAAGGATCCCAAAGTGGTCCAAAAATATTAGTACATTAATATTGTCTAATGTGATTATTAAACTAGAGTTCAACTAAAAATTCAAATTTATTACAATTTGAATGAGTGGATGTGGGGAAAACAGGCCCCTTTGAAAATGGAATGAGGCAAGAAATTCTACATTTCTACCCTTCCCAAATATGGAAAATCCAATTGCAAATCATGCCATCTGAATTTGCCTCACCAAGATACGAGTCAAGGCTTCTCCAATTCTCCATACCCGACCCAACTCAACAAACTTATCATCACAGTGATCACACTATCAGTCTATCACAATTCACAGCCAGCAGCCTGTGAGGAAAGGAACGCGAAAGTAGAAACTAAAGCCTAAAGGTTCGGTTGAAACAAAAGAGCATCTGAGCATGTTTGGCTAAGCTTATAATTTACTTATAAGCTTCATTTTCTCTTAATTATGAATTGATGAAGATGAGAAAATAAAAAAGAGTTGTTTCAACAAGCGCAAGCGCAGGCACAGCCGCACAGGCAAAGTCGCAAATCCGCCAAATCGCAATGTGAAATAAATTAAATAATTACAAGAAACCAGTGCCCGCACTGCAGAATGAGAAAGGGTTAAACTTAACTGGTTAAGGGTTGTTGATTTTCTGAAATCTTTGGCGAGAAGAGAGCCGTCAGCCGTGCCTCATGCCTGTTGCTGTCGGGCGCCGGCCGATTGCGGCCCCGCCTTTGCGCTTTCCTCTTTTAGAACTTAGAAGGGCTTTGATTTTTGAATTTTGCAGGGATGCAGGGTAAGTGGTGGACGGTAGTCTCTAGGTCTGGTCTCCGTCTCCCGACTGCCATCTTTATTAAAAAGAAGAATAAAAAAAATGAAAGAGAAAAATTTTGGGCCCCCTAAAAATATGGGCCTGAGGCGGAGGCCTCTCATCAGGTCCGGCCCTACGTGTGATTATTGTATGCTATACGTGTCTATAGAATGAAATTGCTGTCTCCAGCATTAGTATGGCAATAGCCTTCGCATATGTAATGTGCGGTTGCAGAATACTTGTGTGTATAATGCTAGAAGTTTTTAGTTAATGATTGTATGGACATATTGTTTGATTTTAAACTTGTTCATCTTGCCAATATTTATAATCTTGTTTGAAATGATAACTCTGGAGAGAGCGATTTGGATGCTGCTGCATTTTAACTCGTTGCAGGTACAATGCCCTTATAATGCCAGCATTGGGGTAGCTTCTTTGGCGTACGCTTCTGGCTGAGCTGCATCAAAATTGTTTTGGTGCTCTAGGTTCAAGTAACATATCCATTTTGTTGTTTCCTTGAAGAAACATAGTTGCTGATCAGAATTGTGAAATAGGCGTGTCTTCTTTCCAGTGGATTTGAACATGAGCCATGAACTCAAACAAAATTAATGTTTATAGCTCTCGTCTGCTTCTTGGAGTGTGGTGTGCAAAGTTCTTACCAGTGAAGCCTCTTAAGTGAATTTCTTATCGCCCAGTTCATCAATTTTCGTCGGCATTCTGTTAGGTAACTTTGTGGCTATTCAGAGGTTAAATAGTATGCACGTAGAACATTTTCTGCTACCAAGTCAATGTAAAGCATATGGACTATAGGCATGGTTGGAGTTGTTTGCGAATGATAAAATTATATAGATTAGCGGTGGACGAGCAAGTAGTATAATTTTATAAAAATGTGACGAAATGTTTTGATTGATTTAAAAAGAGAGGTCATTGGTTCACAGTTGCATTGCTTTTCAAGGTAGTTTTATAGTGTATTGGTTCATTTTGATTCTATTCGTCGTTCTATGTAAAGAGCCCTGATTCTCTTATAGGGTTTGGGACAGATTCAAAAACAGGGGTTGAGGTGCATCTACATTAGTCCCTACTTTGGATTTTTGAAATTCAAATCAAGGGATGAGGTGCGTCCACATCAGTCTGTTTTTTATCCATGTCCCCAACCTTGTACTAATAGCATAAATCTCTATGTAAATTCAGACTTTATGTCTGCTTGTCATGTAATGGTTGAACTTCCCATCAAATATGCTAGTCCTCGAGAGTTGAGGTTCAAAATTTTGCGTTTTAGGAATCTATTTGCTCCTAGATTATAACCTCTTAAGAGCAATCGATGCAATGCGAATAAGAAATTCAAGGAGAAACTTTAAGAACACAATTTGAAATCCATCAAAGAATGAAAGATAAAATCAAGAAGTTTTATTAATTCTAAGATACATAAAAACAAAGAATTAACCATTTATTTATAAAGGTTTAAATGAAAACCTAACTTAAAGGAACTAAAATTGTAAAGAATTCGAAATTAACTAAATGACAAAAATAGTACTAAAACTTAAAAGGCAATTTTCGAATTCTAAACGAACTTGGATGTCTAAAATTCACCATACATCATAGCAAACCCTAAGTTCATTGTGTTTCATTGTTCTCTTTTTGAAATGGTATTATGGGCTCAAATCTGAGCTCAAAAGTCAAATTTGCAATTTTCTGTTTTTCCCTTTTCGATCCAACTGTTCCTCAATCTATTCAATCATCTGCTCTACATCACAAATGGATTGGACTTCAGTAGGTAAGAAAAAAGATATACAACTTTAGTGGGAATTCTGCAAAGCTATGTCATTCCATTTAGAGAAAATTTAAGAGAAGATCAATTCCGATCCACCAATATGAACACACATTAACTCCATCATAAGAACCTGATTATCGAACAAGTCGATCAATTACCAAATAACGTTTTTCTAACCAAATAACCACCGAGTCCGAAAGAAACTTGTGCATTAAGATTTATGGAACAAAGTGGAACTTAGAAAAGAAAAGAACCAATCAACAAACCGACCAATTTCTATTAAGATAAGAGGATAAAATACTTACGTTACTATGAAATGAAACGGCCCTATCTTGGTTTAGTTACAGATTGTAACTAAATTCATGAAGCACTATGTTCTACTAGGATTCACTGTATCAAGCAGCAGTGAATTTTGTATTTTCAACTAGAACACAATACATAATAGTAGAAAGTTTGCCTAACTGATGTGGCTTGAAAACTAAACTTGGGTTAGAATTTAATAGACCCATATAAGTGAAAAAGTGTTTTAGGCCTTCTGCCAATAGCATTAACAGTGAAGGGAATGCAAATCCCATAATATAATGTGATGTCAAGAGAAGAATCAAAATTATCTCATGCATAGTTAAAAAATATTTAGTTAATGTTAAGGACATAGTTAAGGTAAATAAATAAATCATTTAAGTTTATCAATCAATTAGTGAAGAAATATTTGAATGCATATTGCATATTATAATTCAAGGGTTCAAATTTAAAGTTCATCTCATGCCCCGAAAATTTAAAGTTTGGCCCAGATTAAATTTCGCCTGGCACTGAACAAAATTTCAGTTAGGATTCGAGTTTTAACGGTTGAAGTACTACCATTGGCTTTAAGTGTAGCAGCCATGTCCAGTAGTTACAAGGACTTTGCTATTTGTACATTCGAGGTTGACACCCTGGATGACACTCCCCTCACAAAAGGGGGGCCCACAATTATTTTATTACGTGTGGACCCTCCTCTCTTGTGAGGGGAGTGTCATCCGCGGTGTTAAGCCCGAATGTATAACTAACTTTATTGGTAGTTACAATACCTATGTAGAAAACTTCGAATCATATATTCATTTCATGCATATTAGGCACACCTAATCTCATATAAGAATCATAAAAACCACTATAATTGAATTCATGCAAACGCCTACATTATCTGAGGAATATAAGAAAAATACATGTAAAATTAAAAATCATAAATTTAATAACAAATATCCCATTATTTAAAAAATAAATATAATTTTTGATAAAAATTAAAACGACAGAATTGTTTTGCTTTCCGTGCAGATAAAAATGTTGCCTTAGTAAAATACGGTAATGAAATGAGCGACTATAACAAAAGGTTGATACCAACTTAATATTAAGCAATGTGTTGGGATCAATGATGCAATATTCCCAAATTAAGTGACTCGGGAGTGGACACTTTATGTGGGAAAATGTTTGGTATACAGAAAAATTTCCTACAAAAATTTTACAGATATCTCACAAAGTATGGACCCCGCATGCATAAATAATGTCAAAAAATTCACCCACCCACCCCGTCCATGTGAGATGTTGTGAACCTCAACTTGTACATCAATTACTGCCCCTTTATGTGACCCCCTTCGAATTTTATTTAAAAAGACAACAACAAAAAATTTAGATGAATTTGCTTGTTGTACAAAGTGATTTGAAGTACTATATTATGTCCCGAATGTCTCGTTGAATAGGTTTGATTTCAAGATTCAAAATTGTTTGAAGTCGTCATGTGAGACATTCGATTCATGAACATGAAATGTATCTCCAAAGCAAGTTCTTCAATTTGATCCAGTCTGTCACGCTTCAGATATAATACCATTCAAAATGGAATGACTCAAATTTCTTGACTCTTTTGGATTTTATAGTAGAATTAATGAACAAGTACGTTGAAAATCAAATCAACTTAATACTTTTGAGATCAATGGTTCAATATTCCAGGATAAATAAATAAGTGTGTGTGTGTGTGTGTGTAAATTTATGAGCGCACACTACGAGAGGCGACACTTCACGTAGCGTCTCAATTTTCATACCATCAAATTTTCAATCCGTTTCTTCTCAAATGTCTAATCAACAAGGGAAAATGAGAAGCAATTAGTGCCGAGGTACTGATTCATATAGATGATTAACCTTCATTTGGTAGAACTTTATTTATAAACGATCAAACTTCATTTTAACCACAAATTTCAATGAATCCATAAGTTCAATTAAACCCTTTGCGTTGAACAATACTTAACAATATTAAAAAGAGAGAAGGCGAAAAACAACTAATATACAATTCTATCCAAGACTACATGCCTCATCAAGTACATTCTTCCACGCACCATTATGATAACACGATGCCTCTAGCGGATGCTATGTTATATAATAAAGCCAAGCTCGTAGAATATTGTAGACAATGTTTTAAATTCTTCTTTTGTACTTCCTAATACTGTACAATCTATTCTACTAAACAAGCTGTAATGACATATTTGTTAAGATTAGAAATGAGTAATGAAGAAATAACTGTAACAAAACTTATCGTCATGTTTAAGTGTGTCTAATCGAACATTCTAAACATGTTATTATAAGCTATTGTGAATGAACAACTTTGAATGGCCTAAGTTTTGGCTTCTCTGTAATATTGTTTCACAAAAATCAAGTGAGAAATGGATTCACCATTGCTGAAAGATTTGAGTGCACAATGCATCTAAAATCTTGTATTACTTACACTCTTTTCTTCTGTGTGGGTTCTGGGCAGACCACTATTTACACGTTTAATATGACAAAAATCTACCTAGAGGAACATACCACCATTATAATCACAGCCTTTCTAAATATATGCAATATAATTTTCCCACAACCTCGAACCAAATCGAACTGAAATCTCAGATCCGAGGAAAACTAAGCAGCTTCATCAAAATTGACCCTCTCACCTGTAGAAAAGATATTCCAGAACAAAGCAGCAGAGAAATACAGAAATGCTGTCAGCAATAAAAAACCCTTGAAAGAACCGACTAGTTCGACGAAGAAACCAGCACCGACTGTTCCCACCACAGCAGCGAATGAGCCGGCGGTATTTGAGAGACCTATATGAAATGGGAAAAGACAATTATGTCACAAAATACATTCTGTGCATGCTTGGTAAGGAGGATTGGATAGCATTCAACAATGTTACTCAAGAAAAAGAAGCTAAAATTTTGTTTATTATAGCATGTAGTACAATCCTGCCCAGTACTACATGCCAAATGAGCAATCTAGGCAATTATCACAAACAAATTGGATCTGCCATCTAAGCCCGGATGCAAAGGGTCATTCTGCCTAATCTTATCAAAGACTGTTGCCAATGGGTGGTGCACAGAACACGCAGGAACACCAGAAAACAAGTGAGCATATTTGGCGAAGCTTAAGTAGAAGTTACTTTTTAAAAAACTTGCGAGCCAGATATATTTGGGTAGCTTACTTTTTATTTAAAAAAAAGTTACTTATTAGTAAAACTTGCAAGAAACTTATTTATTTCCTATTACTCGTTTCAAAACTTTAAACACGAGAATCCGGCAAGTCCAGGGAAATTTTGTTCTTTCAGGATCAATCCCTTTCTCTTCCTCTTTCTTCCCTTTCCATTTCTGATCTTTCTATTGTATTGACAATGGTGGATGTGCATTTATCATAGATTCTGCCACATCACCTAGATTCTCATTTACTTGAATTCCACTTATAGTGAACGGTACTCAGTAGATGCAGTGCTTTATCAAAATGTTAAACCTAAATGAGTTGAAATCATTAGGCAGAAAAAATAGAGAAATTACCATGTAGTACACCAGAGTATTGTGGGGAAATCTCCTGGTCACAGAAAAATAATGACAGAGAAGTTAAAATTGCCCAATAATTGCTGAAATGATTAATTATGGTGTACAGAGTATGTTAACCTGAAGATTCACAAGGAAGCCGCAGTGACTAAATGCTTTCAGTCCAACAGCTACAGTAAGCCAAGCAGATGCTAGTCCTGGACTTTTTGCTGTCGTTAAACCAATGAGAGCAATGCCAGGCCCAATAAATCCAATTGACTGCCAAGAAAATATTAACATAAAATACCAAAGTAGGATAATAAGTAAATCAAATGATAACTATAATCCATTATCTACGAACATAACACAAGCAGCCTATATTATTTATCAGAGTCTTCATTATGAAGGTATAGGCTAAAATTAGATTACCACAAAATTTCAGTAACCAAGAACAGTTACAGTACAAGCTGAACTACTATCAAGTAGCATACTATTCCTTCCAATTACAATCAAAACTGTTTCATATTGCAAATCACTAACCACTCATTATTTTCAGGAACCAAATTTGTTCCACATGTCAAGTATACTGATTATGCTATTAATGGTGATTCAGATTCGGATCATCTTTGGGAAGTGTTTATAAAACGGTGTAAATTATAATTAAATAGAAATGAATGGTGAATAAGTGATTAGTATTTATGGATCTCTTGAAATGTGTGATTAAAAAAAAATATATATATATATGAGAGTCGCTAGAGCGCCAAACATAGGCATGAATAAAGCTAGATGTACATTTAAATTGCATTAAAATTGCTAAGTCAAACCATATGAAAAAATGTGGACACTTGATATTTTATTTTGTTTGGCCCAAGCTTCAATTATTACTCGAAAAGATATTAGGAGCTTTTCCAAATTCCAAGTTCAAAAAGATAAGTAACTTCACTTTCAAACTAGGGGTGTCAACTGGCCAATGGCCACCTGGCCCAATTTTTTTTTTTTTTACTTTATTATTATTATTATTATTATTATTATTATTATTATTATTATTATTATTATTATTATTATTATTATTATTATTATTATCTTCTGAAAATACTGAAAAGGGGAAAAATAGAACAGAGGCGGCACTCAGGCATGTTAACAGCCCATCTTTTCAAGCGAACCAACCCCTTTTACACCTCTAAATGTGACTTAAGGCATGCTCGGTGATTTGTTTTATCTTGTGCCATAAAGATTAAGTTTATGAGAATCATCAATTTACATAAGTATTTTAAGCGCAAGGCCTAAAATACAGACATGCTGCTATTTATAAAGAAGAAGAAAACAAACGCACTTTGAAAAAATAAATAAATAAATAAATAAAACCCTTCAGGCTTTTGGCTGGAAGTAGGTATGTTTGCAATCATCTTATCTAGAAAATCTCATGACTGTGAAACATGAATGTCCTTACATGCAATATACAAACAAAGGACAACAAAGTTCCACCTGCATAAGTTTGCGAGTCAAAGTAACACTTATGCTTCTTTGAATCATCATGTCTGACCAAAACCCAGCAAAGTAGCCAACTACAGCCATCATGCTCCATGGAACAGCACTAAACCATGCAGCTTCTCTGAGGTCAACATGATATATCTACAAAAGACGTACATTCTCTAATTTATATTTCAACTTAGGAAACGATAAGTTAGTTGGTATCTGGAAGCAATTACACGTATATATTGTAACTAACCGTTTTAAAGTAAATTGGCATCCATGAAAGTATAACAAAAAATCCCTGCATGAAACGAGAAATATGAAATTATCTTCTATAAAACTAATATTGCAAAATTCGAATTAATGGGTGATAAGTTATACATGAGTAGATTCTGGTCAATACTGACAGTGATAAGTTACAAAGGGAAACTACGATAATGATACTGAGCTAAAGGATGATTGGATGCATTACCCAGCTGTGCATGGCATTTGCAACAATTAGAGACCAAGTAGGTAGCTTAGAGAGCAATCGCCTAAAGGGAGGAATGACTTGTCTTGTTTTCTGTTCATTCCTTGAGAGAGAGGGTATGGCCACCTTGTGCTGTATGTACCTCAACTCATACATTGATATTTGTGGACTCTGCTCCGGAGTGCTCGAGGTTGCAGATACCCAAACTAACACCCAGAGAAAACCAAATAATCCAAATATTACAAATGGTCCATACTTACCACCCTGTGACATGAGGATTGGAGAAAGTGTAAGTCCAATAGCACTTCCAAGCTGAAAACCAGCCATTGCTAGTCCTACAACCCTTGCGCGTTCTGTTTGAGGAAACCATCTGCAACAAAAATTCAAATAGTTTTAACCTATTGGATTTAGCTTTGCCAACTTTCCCACATCCTGAATGATAAAAAGTTGTGAAAAAGAAAAATCATTTTCGAGGGATTCTATAGCTTGGGTACCTTGCAATCATATTGTTCATACAAGGAAGCGCTACACCTTCTGCTATGCCGAGCAGTATTCTCATGGCAAGCAGTGCCAACACAGATGTTTCTGCAGCCCAAGGAGTAAGGAAAGTGGCCAAAGACCACAAAGCCACTCCCCACGCCATGACCACCTTACCACCATAATAGTCCACCAGTGCCCCTCCAGCTATAGGTGATATCATGTATCCCCATAGAAAAGACGACTACCATTAATGAAAATTAAAATCAAAGCCAGTAATAGTTGCCCATAACCACAGCTGAAAACAATGAGGTAGTATATATCTTTATACTATATACATCAATAATGCTTCAAATTTTCACAAAAACTCAACGATGAATTTACCCATTTACAAGAGAATAATTATTAGTTTTCTAAGAAACTATATATATGTATCTGTGTGTGTGTGTGTGTGTGTGTGTGTGTACCTACAAGTTTCAATCAAAGGAGAAATATTCAAAAATAGAAGTCAACTTTTCAAAAGGATGTCTCAAAAGCAGATAACGAAGAAAAGTTGATTGAAGACTTTTCAAATGGACGGTGTAAAATTTCAAAAGGTGCAACTATTCAAGATTCATTCTCCATATTGAAGAAATTTTCAAGTCCGGATTTCAAGATTTCAATTGTAAAAGAAGATCAAGCATTCAAGAAATCCGTAGAGTTGATTTAGTAGGAGATAAATCATTCTCAAAATAATTTGAGAAATCTTTGTATTCTTTTACCATCTTTATCTTCCAATAGTATAATTCAAAGTTCATTTCAACATTTGTATTTCAATTTTCAAATATCAATAAAATTATCTTCATTTTCAACATTTGATTATTTCCACCTCTACACTTCTCCACCTGGGCCCATTTTGGTATCAGAGCCATAAGAGAGTGAGGTGAGGTTATAGTAGTTTATCACTATAGGCACTGTTCAAATAGGAGAACCTGATTTGATTCCGAGATGTCTGCTCAATAGACGTTGGTCAGCTCGTTTTTAGCCGAGGAAGGCATGTTAGGGTGGTCCCGTTTGTAGTCTTGATAAGAATCAGTCTATCTTATTTAACTGTTTTTACAGTGGTAAATTGTTATCATTTCATTTAATTTAACTATGTCATCTTTTTCAAATTAGTTTCAAAGGTCTAGAAATAGATCTTAAAATATTTCAAATGTTTTTCAAAATAAAGAAGAAATTGATCAAACATTTGCATCATTTACATTAAATGATTTCAATAGTCATGAACTTCAAATTGCTCAAATAGAACAAAGATTACATAATTGGACAATTACAAAGGTAGGAAAGACTTCTATCTATGAAATTGGAAAGTTTGATTTTACTCAAAATTATGTTATCAAAACTTTTGAACAAGCATTATCTATCAAAATCAAAATGCAGACATCAATTTATTTTCAAAAGAATCAATTGAATCCCACAAGAAGAAATTTAAATATCTTCATGTTGGATTAATTCAAATTACTGTCAAACCTTCGTTTAGACTTGGTTTAGACATTCTAATTCTCTTTAACTTTTTGAGATAAGAGACTCCTCAAATTCAAAATTCATTATTATCCATTCTAGAGTCAAATCTAGAAAGCGGTCCAATTTATTCAAATTGTTATCCCAATTTTTCGATTAATCTCAATGATGGAGCTATTCTTAATGCTCTAAATCTTCATAGTCAAACAAAAAATCTCGATTTCGATAATCATTCAAATGCTTTTACTGTAATATACAGGATATATTACAAGCTCATGAATACTCAACTCAATATTGGTGCTTTACGTTTATCCCCTAAAGATGAAAGTCTTTTTGTTGAATGTAATCCTTTCATTCAAACATCATGATTCCTAAGAGAATTCCTTGGAATCTTCAAACTTGTGGACTAGAATGAAATTTTGAAAATGTTCAAAATCCTATTCCTGCTCCTGTTAAAACAATTCCTAATCAAATTCTTACTTTTCCTAATGGAAACGTCAAAATGGTTTTCAAAGAATCTTCTTTTAAGTTTCAAAGATAAACTTAGAACTTCTTTTCAATCAGCTAGATTTTCAACACCTTCTCTTATAGGTGTTGATTTCACTACAAATATTCCAAAACCTCAATATATCGAAAAATAAGCAGAAAAAGAAGAAGAATCAGAACAACCTAAACTACCAACTTTTTCTGATATGTTTTCTTCTCAAAATGAAAGACTTGATCATCAAATAAATGTTATTTCTTCAAGAATCGATAAAAGAAATGAATTCAAAACTGATCAGACTCGTGATATTAAAAGTTTTTGAAAGATATTTCGTCAAAACTTTTCAAAAGAAGAAAGAGAATTTTATTGGAAAAAATTTTATGAATTCCCTGAAGATTTAAGTTTTTATGAATGGGCGTATTTCAAAATTTTTAACAAAAAACCTACCTTTTCAAAGAAGGAAAAAGTTTATTCAAAGAAAGAAAAGATCTCTTCAAAGAAAGAGAAAACTATTCAAACTACAAATATTCCACAAAAGACTTGGAAAACTTAATGGGCCCAGGTGGAGAAGAGTGGAAGTGAAAATAATCAAATATTGAAAGTAAAGATAATTTTATTGATATTTTAAAATTGAAATACAAATATTAAAATGAACTTTAAATTATAATATTGAAAGATGAAGATAGTAAAAGAATACAAAGATTTCTCAAACTATCTTGAGAATAATTTATCTCCCGCTAAATCAATTATGAGAAGATCTTCAATGCTTGATCTTCTTTTATGCTTCCGGACTTGAAAATTTTTTCAATTTAGAGAAGGAATCTTGAATAATTGCACCTTTTGAAACTTTTGCACCGTCCATTTGCAAAAGTCTTCAAATAACAAAAAAATTCTTCAATCAACTTTTCTTTGTCATCAACTTTAATTTTTGAAAAGTTGATGACAATTCTTTGAAAGACATCCATTTGATTGGAACTATCATCATAATAATTCCAATTTTTGACATTTGCTTTGATTTTATCTCCGTAGACTAGAACTCAAGCAAATTATTGAGATTGAATAATTCTTCATCTGCATAATTGAGGTTAAGTCCTTGAAATGGTTCTTCATTTTGATGGAATAAATTCTCAAAACAATCTTGAGACATTTAAATTTTATCATCAAATATTTTCCTAATCAAAGGGACTTGAGTTTAAGTCCACTTTTCTTCACGATAAAAATGGCATAATATTCATCATGGAACATCAACTGTAATATTGAATTGTCAATATTTTCATCAAGTTTTTTCTTTGCTGCCATAATGGATTTTGATCTAATTTTTGTAAGAATTTCTCTCACATGCTTTTTGATAATGATTTTTTTTATAAACTTTTGATGAGATATTTGAATCTGACATTGAAAGATTTACAGACAAAGTACTCCAGATAGTAACAATTTGTTTGGTTGAAAAATACTCTTCAGTAAAAAGAGTGTTATTGAATTTTTCTTCCTCAGCAATCCATTCAAGAAAAATAGTTGAGAATTCAATTTTGAGAGTTTTAACTTTGAATTCAAAAATATGATTAATAACACTTTTGAGAGAGCTATTAAAAAGTGAAATATTAGTTTTTGAATCGATATATATTGAGGAAATAAATCCTCATTCAATCATTTGACGAATTTCTTAATTAATTATATTAATGATTGAAATACCTTTGAGGGTAAAGTGAAGTTTATAATAACTATCACAAGTCTCAAAACCATTGAAATAAAAGTTAAATATTATAAAAATAATAATTTTGAATGTTTGAGTACAAGTAGGATCTCTATTAATAATATTTTGATAAATATCTTCAGAAAGTTGTAAGACTTTCTTCATAAGATTTATTCTATTCTTTTTTAATAAGAATGGAGTTTTGAAAGAAAATTTTTTTGAAGAATATTGATGAATAAGTCTTTCATTTTTTTGAAATTTTTTTATTATTTTGTTACTACCGTCAAAAATTTCAATAGTATTTTTAAGACATCTTATAATATCTTTATTACTTCTTTGGTAATAAGTAGTAATAATATCATTAAATTATCTTTTTGAAATTTGAAAAGTTTTTTATGAGTTTTAAACTCATAGAATTTTGGTTCAGTTCCAAGAAAGGAATCTGATTGAGAAGAAAATTTACCTTTATTCAAATAATATGATTCTTCGATTGAAAAAGGTATGTAGCTTGAGAAAATTTTGTCTTCAAAGGATTTTGAAGAAGATCCTGAAACGGTATTTGAATAATTTTTTGTATTCATATTTCTTTCCACAATATTCTTTTCAAGAGATATGTTTTGCAAAATAGTTTGAGTTTCTTTGAATAAATAGTGCTTTAAGTAAAAGAGAAGACAGAATATCTTGTCATTAGGAAAATTTTTATTTTGAAATATGTGAAGCTTTGAAAAAGTTGAAGGATTCTTTTAAGGGTTAATCCATATACCACTATAAAACCTAACCAACTGTTTTTGACCTAACTCTTTTGGAATCTACTTTAACACTCCACCAAATCCTAAATCAGAGGCATCGGCAGGGCCGGTCCTGACCCAAGGCTGACCAGGCAGCCGCCTAGGGCCTCTAATTTTCTGGCCCTATCTCTGGTAATTAATTTTGCTCGTTTTGAAGGTGAGGTAGTAGGATGAGTAATGGATTTCTCTGTGTAGTATTGGGATTAGCAATTAGCACATATGTTCACAAAGGTGAGCAGAGAGGCTGTTAGTTGTGTAGTCGGCTGGAAAATGGAGGGTAGTCGCCGGAATCCATTGTTGCAACGGCCAGCAACAGAAGAATTGGACTACCGGAGGCTAAAGACATTTAAGACAGCCATTGTTGGGCATGAAAAGGATTTTTTCTTTGGACCATTTTTTTAAATAGGCCAATGATTGTAATATTACTCATAGCTATATAGGCTACCCCATGTATCACTTAACAATTGAACAAACTGATTGCAAGCACCCGATTGGCAAAATTGATTGCAAACGAAACCAATTCGTGTTGACGCCAAGTGACTGAGTTGGAGTGGTGTTGATGACCTGCTTGCTGCCGGCCGCCCTCCGCTAGCCTGTCCTTGTAACTTGCAAGGTTCGTATTCTTGTATATATAATAATATTTTTAATAAGATTTGTTGTGTAAATTTGTTTAAATTTTGATCTGGGTTTTTACTAATGTTATGATTTAAGACAACCTCATTAATTTGGTTTTGTTTGTGTTGTATGGTGTGGATGTATATTGGAGCATCTACGTGTTTTTAGGGTTATTATTTATTAATTCTAGCTCTAGATCTGTGTGTGTATAGGTTGTAAAATTTGTAATTGTGCAAATTTGGAAAATTTTGATTTCTGTGTATTTCCGACGTGTGTGTCTTTCTTTTTCTTCTTCTACCTTCTTTCTTTCTTTCTTTCTTTTTTCGGTTTCGAATTAACATGGATATGCCATTGGGGAATTTGTGATATGTGATAAGTTGAAAATTTAAAATTTAAACTTGATCATAGTCTCAACCTAGTTCATAAATGGCTTAATTTATGTTAAACATGTCATTTACATTTTATTTTCAGAAACATCCTCCATACTTTGACATCTCCTTTCAGAGTTGTGAAGGTGAATGATAAAAAGACCAGTGGTTTACAGTCCAACAATAAAAAATTTAATTAAGAATCTACAAAGTTAAAATTTTAGCAAACTAACTGTGGTGAGTAAATTTTCATCAATGAGTTTCTAAAATTCCATGTGTACTTTATTTTTTCAGTAAACTAACATCCTATGTATCCATTTTTAAGTAGTGGTCCTTTTGTAAAAAAAATATTTTTAACACCTTCCATATCCATTTTTAAAGTAGTACAATGTTTGTAAAAAATTATGCTTAAAGCCTAAGGGCCTCATAATAATTGGTTGCTTGGGGCCTCACAATTCTCAGGGACGGCCCTGGGCATCGGTTTCAACAATAATTGAAGTAGTAGGGTTAAGAATTGATAAGCGTGGAATATTTTTGACAATTGAAGCAGTAGGGTCAAGAATTTATAAGCATGGAATATTTTTGACAGCCTTTTTGACATTTTGGACAACTAATATGCACTCGTGACTCCATAGGTCCGGAATTTTTTGTAGTCTTTTGAAGAAAGGAGCACAGATCAACCTTATTTATCTCTTTGATAAAGTCGCCGACATAATTGACACGATCAATGAATCTTTGAAGAGAAGATTTGTCTAAAATTTCATCGAAAAATTTTTCAATAAAATCTAGACTTATCTGAATTGGAATAATTTATTTTGAATATTATGACCTAAAAATCTTATTTTTGTTTGACATAAAACAATTTTTTTTAGCGGAGACTGCTAAACTATTTTTTTTATTACATGCATAAATATATTGATATGTCTGAAATGTTGTTCTATACTTTCAGAAAATGTTGTTCTATGCTTGGAATGGCATAACATTTCATTCGTATTGACCAAAAGAATTGAAAATATCATTCAATACAAATGAAACGTTATATCATTTGAACTCAAAAATGTTCCTTCTGAATTTCAAAAAATCATGAATGATATTTTCAATTCTTTTTCAAATTTCATTATTGTTTACATTGATGATGTTCTTATATTCTTTGAAAGTATAAAACAACATATTAAGCATATCAATACATTCATGCATGTAATCAAGAAAAATTATTTTATGTCAAACAAAAATAAGATTTTTAGGTCATAATATTCAAAATGGTTCAATTATTCCAATCCAGAGAAATCTAGATTTTACTGAAAAATTTCCTGATAAAATCTTAGACAAATCTTCTCTTTAAAGATTCCTTAGTTGTGTCAATAATGTCGACGACTTTATCAAAGAGATAAGGTTAATTTGTGCTTCTCTTTTCAAAAGACTACAAAAGAACCCGAACCCATGAGTCACGAATGCACATTAGCTGTCCAAAAAATCAAAAAAGCTGTCAAAAATATTCCATGCTAATCAATTCTTGACCCTACTGCTTCAATTATTATCGAAACCGATGCCTCTGATTTAGGTTTTAGTAGAGTGTTAAAGCAGATTCCAAAAGAGTTAAGTCAAGAACAGTTGGTTAGGTTCCATGGTGGTGTATGAACTGGCCCTCAAAAGAATCCTTCAACTTTTTAAAACTTCACGTATTTCAAAATAAAAACTTTCCTAATGACAAGATATTTTGTCTTCTCTTTTTCTCAAAGCACTATTTATTCAAAAAAATTCAAACTATTTTGCAAAACATATTTCCTCAAAAGAATATTGTGGAAAGAAATATGAATACAAAACATTATTCAAATACCGTTTTAAGATCTTCTTCAAAATCCTTTGAAGATAAAATTTTCTCAATCAAAGAATCATATTCTTTGAATAAAGGTAAATTTTCTTCTCAATCAGATTCTTTTCCAGGAACTGAACAAAATTCTATGAATTTAAAACTCGTAAAAAACTTTTCAAATTTCAAAAAGATAATCTTGATGATATTCTTACTATTTATTACCAAAAAAGTAATAAGGACATTATAAGATATCTCAAAAATACTACTGAAATTTTTTACAGTAGTAATAAAATAATCAAAAAATTTAGAAAAATGAAAGACTTATTCATCAATATTCTTCAAAAGAATTTTCTTTCAAAACCGTATTTTTATTAAAAAAGAATAGATGAAATCTTATGAAGAAAGTCTTACAACTTCATGAAGATATTTATCAAAATATTACTAATAGAGATCCTACTTGTATTCAAACATTCAAAAATATTATTTTTAGAATATTTAATAACTTTTATTTCAATAATTTTGAGACCTGTGAAAGTTATCATAAATTTCACTTTACCCTCAAAGGTATTTCAATCATTAATGTAATTAATGAAGAAATTCGTCAAATGATTGAATGTGAATTTATTCCCTCAATATATATCGATTCAAAAACTAATATCTTACTTTTTAATAGCTCTCTCAAAAGAGTTATTAATCATCTTTTTGAATTTAAAGTTAAAATCCTCAAAATTGAATTCTCAACTATTCTTCATGAATGGATTGTTGAGAAAGAAAAATTCAATGATACTCTTTTTACTAAAGAGTATTTTCCAGTCAAACAAATTGTTACCATCTAGATTACTTTGTCTGAAAATCTTCTAATGTCAGATTCAAATATCTCATTAAAAGTATATAATTCTGAAGAAAAATAAATCATTATAAAAAAATCATGTAAGAAAAAATCTTACAAAAATTAGATCAAAATCCATTATAGCAGCAAAGAAAAAATTTGGTGAAAATATTGACAATTCAAGATTACAGTTGATGTTTCATGATGAACATTATGCCATTTTTACCGATGAAGAAAAGTAGACTCAAATTTAAGTCCCTTTGATTAGGAAAATATTTGATGATGAAATTTCGATGTCTCAAGATTGTTTTGAGGATTTATTCCATCAAAATGAAGAACTATTTCAAGGACTTAACCTCAACTATGCAGATGATAAATTATTCAATCTCAATTTTGCTTGAGTTTTAGTCTAATGAGATAAAATCAAAGCAAATGTCAAACGTTGGAATTACTATGGTGGTAGTTCCAATCAATGGATGTCTTTCAAAAAATTGTCAAAAGTGACTCAAAGTTGTCATCAACTTTTTAAAAAGTTGGAGACAAAGAAGAGTTGATTGAAAAATTTTCTTGTTGTTTGAAAACTTTTGCAAATGGACGGTGCAAAAGTTTCAAAAAGTACAATTATTCAAGATTTTTTCTCCAAATTGAAGAAATTTTCAAGTCCGTAGTTCAAAATTTCAAGTATAAAAGAAGATCAAGCATTGAAGATCTTCTCAGAGTTGATTTAACGGGAGATAAATCATTCTCAAGATAGTTTGAGAAATCTTTGTATTCTTATACTATCTTTATCTTTCAATATTATACTTCAAAGTTCATTTCATTATTTGTATTTCAATTTTCAAATATCAATAAAATTATCTTCATTTTCAACATTTGATTAAAAATAGAACCCCTGGCAAATACTTGAATCCACACAAAATGTTCTTCAAGTGCTGCAAGGTATTTTCTATAGCCTCTAATATGCTTTTATTTCTATATATCAGCTAGAAAACTGCACAATAGAATAGTATCTGAATACCAATTCTCCTCCATATAGCTCCAACTTAAGAATCAATGCTTCACGAGGTATTGTCCGTCTTGCCCAATAGGTGAAGAGAACAGAGACCAAAATGCTTGAGCCACCAATTGTTATATCACAGCTCAGCAGAAATGTTACACTCACCCGAAATGTTACACTCACCCCTTGTCTGACACACAACATCCTGATGGTGCTACCTGCCATACATGGGAACTACTCCACTGCACATCAAGTTAGGCTATGTGCACTGATGATACGCATCAGGTGGCAGGTGTAGTAAGTTGTTAAGACCTTTTGGAAATATTTTGAAAAGCACTACTAAAGAAACACGTCCTTATTCTGGGCCCAAATTCAAGATGGAGAATCCATATTATTCATGTAACAATACATAGGCACATGGATGGTGAACTTTCGAAAAAATTCTTAGAAACTCTATATATTACTTCCATAAATACTACATGATAGAGCTCCCATCCTTCACGCTACTAACTGAGTTTTATTACAATATCATGTACTTGCTAACTAAAAATCATTACCCAACTTCAGCACTTACTCACAACTACTAATTCTTCTTTTCTAATGAGTATTAGTGCGCAACAACCATAATAATGAATTCCTTTTTTAAGAGAATGCACATGAAAGCATTTATACTCCTCTTGCATTTGCAGCAAACCTTTAATGCAGATAATTCATGGCAGACACTTCCACAAGCCTCACATAAAGAAGAAATTCAATGCAGACAGCTCATTACAAAACTCAATAATTAGAAATTCAGCTAAATACAGAAATTTGAGCAGCAAAGACATCTAAAAATACCATGTACATAACTATTTCATACCGGAGAAAATTTTGGATAAGAAGACTTATTCAAATCGAAATGGGAGGCAAGCTTTTACCTGAACAACACCTGCAAAAGATTGACGCCAACCATGAGCGAGTGACAGCGGCACAATAGCCACCGACATGACAACACGGTCAGCATTACACAATGCCAGAGCTAATGCAAGCATCGCCACCACTTTGACTCTCTCTGAAGTAATAAATTCCAAAAAACTCGACGCTCGTGCTTCACTTTGGTCGCCAAAAGAAGTGCCCGCAATAGATTGAGCATCATTTGATGAAGCCCTCAATCGACACAATTCAAAATTCCGAGCTTTATACGGGAATTTATCCGTAAAAGGATTATTCACAAAACAGAAAGTTCTGAAGGAGTTTGTGAACATCGTACAAGGTAATTTAATGTGAGAAATTTTGAGGATTTTGTATGGTTTAGGGTTTTTGAGGCCTGGGGTTGGGTTTGTGCCATGGCGTCGATTTAGAGCGATCGGAGAATTCATGGCCGCCGATTACTTCGTAATTTCTTCTCAATTTCAGCTGGATTTCTACGAATTCCCACTCCGATAAAACTTATCTAAAAGGCAAATTCATATAATCACGAATGCCGGCCTGTAAATTTTTATCTGGACTGAAAATCTTCGTTTTGGAATTTTTGAAGTTTTTTTTTTTCAATTTGAGCAACCTAATATTGGATTGAAGTAAGTCCACTCTACTTCATAATGAACTAACAATCGTTATCTTTAAGTCTAATAAAATACATAATTAATTTGTTGGTTGATTTTGTCTAGTCCATGATTGATTTGTGTTTACAGATAAGCTAATTTAACTTATTTTTATTATTTTTAAGAACATGTTTGGGACAACTTAAAATTCAATTAAAATCAATTTTTAATTGAAGGAGAGCCTCTTGTGCACAGAAGTGTACAGTCAATGAGAAGAACCTGTGATCTAGTTGAGGCATAACCCACGATTTACCCCCTCCAAGGTTCTAGGGGCATGGGTTTTTGAGATCCAGAATTTAGTCTGGTGTAAGTTGGGATGCCTGGATATAAAAAAAAATCAATTTTTTGATCGTTACTTCACTATTCTAGTTGTCATTTTTTAATCTTCTCTCACATGTATGACTCGCTTTATTTCTAACGGTCAAAAAATCAAGGGAAGATTGCAGCAGAGGCCCAAAACCTTTGAAACGTTAACAGACTTTTCCCAAATTTTTGATTTGTTGCAACCGTCACCTCTAACCTTTCCAAACATTGCAAGTGAAGTCCTTTTGGACGATTTTCATCCAAAATTTCATTAGTTGACCAAAAATTTAACTTTGACCAAATTTTTAATATTTTAAAAAGGGGTAAAAGGGTCAATTTTCATTTATCACATTATATAATAATTAAATTAAAAAATAAAAAAATAAAAAAACACAACCCTTTTCTTCTTTCTCTCATCTCACCCCCACCTCCAATTCAAATCCAAAATCCACACCGCCATTGCTACCACCAACACCATCGTCATTACCACCTCCATATCACTCTAAATGGTCAGTACATCGACTGGATTCGAAACAACCAAGAGTATACAGTCGGGAGATATTTAGCCAACGGAGGCACAATGTTTCTAAACAAAGCCAAGTTTCTCTCAAGAAAATTTAGCATGTTCTCGTCGGGATTTTGAGGGCACTGACTATGATGATAAAGAGGTTGGATCCAGAAGTTATGGAGTAGTTGAGGGAAGCTTGAATTTTTGTGTCAAATTTTTTGCCCAAGATCTGGCTACCCGGGATGCAAAATGGTCGACCCTTTTTGATCCAGTTCGAGTAGGCTTTGATTCAGTTGTCTATCCAGGCGCCATGATTTCATTAACATGAACATATTTCTTATTGAAACAAGGTCCTTGGCAAACAAGACCAGCAAAAAATCTCCTCCGGAACAATCCTTATTGCTTCATTTGAGATTCAATTCTGTGTGTACTCTACAGCAATACATTTTGGCTGTTCATGTTACTTTCTTGAGACCAAACACTCGGATTTCTCGATCTTACTAGTACATGGGAGGTCGAATCTAGAAGTTATGCGGCGGTGGTGGTGTGGATTTAGATTTGAGTTGGGTGTGGGGGTATAGTTGGGGTGAGAGGAAGAAGACATGGGTCTTGTTTTTTATTTCTCATTTTTAATTTAATTATTATATAATATGATAAATGACAATTGACTCTTTTACCCCTTTTTAAAATATTAAAAATGTGGTCAAAATTAAATTTTTGGTCAACTAATAGAATTTTGGATGGAAACCATCCAAAAGGGCTTCACCTGCAACGTTTGGAAATATTAGGGGTGATAGCTGCAACAAATCAAATGTTTGGAAAAAGTCTGCTAATGTTTCAAAAATTTGGGGCCTCTACTGCAATTTTCCCAAAAATCAATTAACAAAATTCCTACCAAACAAATACTAAAATTACTTTTTCTCAGTAAAGAAATTATTTTCTAACTTGGCTTGACAAATTGAAAAATAATTTACAAAATAATATAATAGTGACTTTCATGAAATTGGCACAAATTTTGTCAAGTGAAAGATAGATTTCTTGAAAAAAAAATATGATCGTAAAGTGTAGTTATGAACCTTAAGGCAATTTATGGTCGAAAATCATATTTAAAAAAAAATAAAAAAAATATTTATCAAGCAAAGGCTGCAAAACATAAATTTATTATTTTAAAAAGTAATTTTCAATTCTAGCCAAACACATGATCTAATGATCACGACAAATAAAATAACCTTTAAAAATGTTATTTGAGATTTTCATACTTGCATAAAGAAGATAAATTTGCAGAATTTCACCAGCATCGAAATTTACGAGACTTCCCCCTTGTGTGGCTTTTATTTCTTATAATAATAATAATAATAATACATTCATAGAAATCATAATTTTTGTTAACATCTAAACATCATAATTCATCAATTTTTATCAAAATTTACTAAATAATTTATATTTATCAAAACCAAGCAAGGTTTCATAATTTTTGCAAGTGTTCTACATACACAGGAAAATGTATCGAATGGTTTGTTGCAAACAAATTGTTAGTCTAATCTAGCACCTGTTTAGCCTAGGGATGGTAAAATGACTTGCAAGCTCGGGCAGTTCATAGACTGGTCCGGCCCCGCTCGAGGCTAGGTGAAGGTGACCAACCAAGCACGAGCCGGCCTGTGTGCCTCAAAATTAAAATAAAAAAAAAATTATAAAGGCAGCATGCCAACTAGGGGTGTAAGTGGTCCAGTTTTACCAATTTTTGACAGATTTTCAAACCAAACTGTTTAAAACGGTTTGAGAAAAATTCAAACCTAAACCTAACAGTTTGGTACAATTTTAAACCGTCGATTTCGCCATATATTTTTTTGTCCGTCTACTTTTATATCATTAATTCATTGAATTCAATATATATTTATATCTTACTAGTAATAAATCTAAAACAAACTAAGTCCATGTTTGAACCAATTTTTGGGATAAAAAAATAAAAATTTGGACCGTTATCCCACAAGTCCAACCGCCTTTGTTGACCTGCTGTTTCATGTGTGGGACTCAACTTCATTTCCAACAGTCAATTTTCTCATTATGATGATATGAAAAATATGGTTCAAACATGGGCTAAATATATCTACTATAAATTTAAATACTAACTAAATCAAAGTGAAATCACAATAAACTAAAACGTAGTTTTTTTTTGTGCATTTTTTTCACCTTTTTAGACTAATGACGATACAATAACGTTACAATAAAAATCTACTAAACTAGATATAAGGCCCAAAAAACATAATTATGTTCAACAAGATCTCGTGATCATCATATCTAAAAAAAATACTAATTAAATAAAGAGAATAATCAACCACACTAATAAAGTAATTGTTTATAATATCTAAACATAACAATTACACAAGTTTACATTTGTATGATGTTACGAAACACATTTAATTTGAGATTCTTACCTTAATTTGCTCCAAAAAAAATTATTGATATGAAACTTTATTCGTAGCAAATATTATCACCGAAAGTCTAGAATCTCTTTGTCTTCGATTTGGTATAATGGATTTCAATTCAACTTTGAAAAAGTGTGAAAAATCTGAAAAAGAAGTGTGTAGTGTCGATGGCTCAAGATTGTGTTGGGTGTCGATTGAAATTCATCTAAATTCTGAAGAGGAAAAAGGCTTTTCATAAATTATGTTAGTCTTGAAACTATTAGATATATATTAGGATTATTGAATAATAATAATAATAATAATAATAATAATAATAATAATAATAATATATGTATTAAAAAATTAGAAATTGACAAAAATACCCACAAATGACAAAACTATTGAATTTTACATATTTGGATGAATTTTCAAAAAATTTCATTTTTTTATTTTTATATATTTTTTCGCCAATCCATTTTGGTTTTAAACCGCAATTAAAATTCTCAAATCTAAACCAAACAATTTTGACCGGTTTGGTTTGGGTCAAAACCATTTCGTTGATCGATTCCACGTGGCACCAAACCGACGGTTTCTAAAATATGATTTCAGTTCGATTTTCCGATTTTGTGATTTTTGCTTATAGCCCTAATGCCAACTGCCTTTTAAAGGTAGCTTGGCCGTTGCCTTTACAAAGGCAGAGCTACCAGCTGCCATGGAGAGAAAACAAAAAACAAAAAAATCGAGTCGGCTCAGCTCGGGTCGAGCCTATATTTTTTGGCCGAGCTTTTGTTCGGCTCACTAGGGCAAAAAAAAACTCGAGCTGAGCCCGAGCCTCGATTTTTGATTTGTTAACACCCCTAGTTTAGCCCCCATTATTTGATATTATAATTTTTGAAATAGTATTTTTTTTTTTTAATCAAGAATGTGTTGTTAAAAAGAATTTTTTTTTTTTGAATTTATGCGTAATATTGTGTTATTGAAAATTATATGATTTATAAGAAGAGATTGAAAATAGATTATAATTTTAACAGGGCATAAAAATAAACAAGCACATTTGCACAACTTAAATAGAGAAAATGAGAAAGTGAGTGCTAAGCATACAGAAAATTGGAGATAGATTCTTTAACCTTACACACAATACGATCTTGAATTCAAGTTGTGAGCATCCAACCTATTAAAATATGTGAATCTAGATCCTTACATTACAGAAAAACGTCAATGTAGATATCAAAATTGCAAATAAATATTAATTAGTTTGAAGAGAGAATATTAAATGATTTAACAGCCCAATCCTAAATTTTTTTTCAATAAAATAAGCATATTAATTTGAACATGGTGGTCATATTTGATAAAATAAGCATCTTTTGGATTGCTTATAAGCAAGAGCACGTTTCAAGGTAATTTATAATAATTTATGACTAGCGACTACAGTAGTCATCTTACTGGCATAAATTTAATAATGTTGTGCCACATAAAATGTCAGTAGTTGCTGATTATGAATAGTGACTTTATAAATATAAATAAATGGTTTAAATTATACATAGATAAAAATGAATGATGGAAGAGCATGTACTACTTGTGGGTTATGTGATGAAAAGTTGGTTTGATTGATTATAAAAAATTAGAAACGATAACCAAACAAGCTATATTAATCATATAATAAATTTACATTACAGAAAGACTCATTGCAATAATGATTCTATTAATCCTCCAACAAGCATAAAATTATAATTAGGACAAGAAAGCAATTAACGAGGACTAGAAAAAGAAGAAGTGCCTTCTAATTAATTCTATGATTTTACGATTTTTATACATTATTACATTTTGCTTGCAGGTGCAGTAAACAATGAATCTCCCTTCAGCAACAACCTCCCCAGTTGCTTTGTCCCTTGTAAGAGTAAGAACATTTGTTCCAGAATAATTACCATTCTGACACAAGACTCTTGATGTCATCTCTAGTTCATCCTGCCAATACAACCATAAAAGTAATAAGACATATAATTAAAAGAAGAGCCTCGATCAAGCAGTCACAAAAGTAATGGCCGAAGGCATGTTTACTACGTAGTAGTGAACAAAATTATTAAACGATAAAACTCCACATCGAATAGAGATGAAAGATCAATTTATAAGGGTTTGAGCTACTCCTCTTAATAAAGTTGACATTTTAAGATGAAATATCAAATCTTAATATGATATCAGAGCATATTAAACACCAATGAATAATTTGATCTGATTAAGAATTTAAAAAAAAAAAAAAAAAATGAGCACGCGAATTTCAAAATGATTTACTCAAACGAACCACCATTTTGAGGGCATGTTAAAGGATAAAATTCAATATCGAATAAACTTCATCATAGATCAACTTATAAGGATTTGAACTACTCCTCTTAAATAAGTTTGACATTGTAAGATGAAACTCCAAATATTAATAAATATATTGTACCTGAATCCTTTATATTAATATCTAATCCAGCGTACCAAACAAACTATAAGGACATGACACAGAAATCCCAAGCTCAAATCCAACAAACATGTCAGTTATTTGTTCACTATTTGTCCTGTCATTAGATGGGAAATATCGTCGCTTGCTATATATTATACCAGGATTGATCTGTAATGTGAAGGGTCCGGTAATTCATAAATTCCATTCAATAATTTGGTAAATTACAAACATGCTGGATGGGAACGAAATGACCGACATGCTCAAGAACACAATATAGGCTCAACTGGTCTAGTAGTTCTTCTCCACACCTTAATTGTTTCGGGGATTGCAACCGAGAAAAGGGCCGATTCTTGGCTTGAAAACAAATGATACTCTATCTGTTACTATTCAATGTTACCCGGCCCTATGCACAGAGGTCTTGTTTGTGAATATCCCTATGATTATAATTCTGCCAAAAATCGAGAAAAATTTTCCCCAGTTTTCTTTCAAAATCAAGTATGCACAACCAGTCAGTAAATAAAAAATGCAACGTGCTCTGATCTTATGCATTCAACAATGGCAGCATAGGTAAATGGTTAGCTGCCTCATGTTATCGTATCCAAAAACAAGAAATGCAAAGCTAAAAGGTGAATACACAGGTGCATGAATATATCCCATAACGTCCATGTTCAACTGTTCTCAATATTTTGCAACGATTAATAAGCATAAGGATACATGGTTATATAGCTAAAGTTCTACAAATCATGAACATGGTAAATCAGTAATAATCAAAATCCTTCGGATGGGGAGAAGTATCCACTAATCAATATGTTCATGGCATTTTTACTTTAGTAAAACTCAAATATTTAATTCAAATGAGGAGTCGTTAGACTAGTATTTATACCTAATGCAATCCCCTTTCCTCATCAACAATGTATCAAGTTTTTCGAGTAATGCATTCTAAATAGCTCGCTCATTTGTGCTAAACAGAAAATCTCTGGAAAATTTTACTCAACTGAGAAGGGAAAGAGCGACATGAAAGATATTTCCACCTTCCCTGGTAAGGTCGGTTCTAAGCAAAAAACAATGGTCTATTACATTGTAGCCTTTCATCTTCCATTAAGAAGACAAAAGGTATTCTTGCTGGCTCATAATGCAAATGAAATGGAAGATTAAAGGACTCCTACAAAAGCATTGACTGATACACTAGTTATCAATTTTAGACACTGATCCAGCCAAATTTACCATCAGCATCTATAAGCTAAAGAAGGAAATTCAATCAAGAAAGCTTACTTTTAGAAAGGTAATTTGTTGACATGTCTATTGAAATCCATAGGTCGTCCCTCAACATGGATCACTGCAGCTCCTAATTCATCGACCAAAGAGGCAATAGCGCCCAGAACTAAGTTTCCATCCTTATTCTGCAAAATCAATCAAATTTCAAAAAAAAAAAAAAAAATCCTAAAATCATTGTTTCCATTTCATTCATTCACTCACTTCCCAACCCTATTCTGCAAAATCAGATCAAATTTTGAAAAACGCTGTCTAGAATTAGATTCTGTGTTTATTTCATCAGCCGAATTCCCATTACTGTTCTGGAAAAACCCAAAATTGTCATTTTCATTTCATCTCCCAGTTCCAATTCCTATTCTGCATAATCACATCAAATTTCGCAAAATGAAAAATTATGCAAAATTAGTGTTTTTACTTCATTAGCTAAAGTTCCATTCCTATACTGTAAATCATATCTAATTTTTTCATCAGCTCAGTTTCCAGACCTATTCTGCAATTTCAGGTAAAAAAACTATACAGAATAAGTGTTTTTATTAAATCATCTAACTGCCATTCTTATTCAGCAAATCAAATCAAGTTTTGATAAAATTTACCCACAATCCTTTTCACTTTCGTGAATCAAAATACAATCAAGTCGAACACAATGCGAGGGGATTTACTCTCTTACAGTGAGGTGATGGGGCACTTCGAAAAAGAAAGTGGCGGAACCCGGTAAGCCTCGGTCGACTTCGATCCATCTGAGGACGAAATACTTGTAAAAGCTTGAATCAGTGTGACGTCTCTGAGAAGCGAAATTGAGCCGTGATACGCGATCGAATTCTTCGATTGTTACAAGTTTTTCAAGAAATTCTTTTGCCCTGTTCCATTTTCGAATCCTCTAGTTTCAGATTTCAGATTTATCAACCACTAGACCTTCCCAGCGATAAGCCGTGTTTGTCTAAGCTTAAATTATTTACTATTAAGAGCCAGTGTTTGGGAGTGATTTTGAGAATTGATTTTTTGATCATTAGGAGAAAAGTGGGGTCCACCTGTAAAAGAAGAAGTCAAATATGACGGCTGAAATAATAAAATAACGGTCAAAAAATCAATTTTTTGGGTGAAAAAATCAGGCCCAAACAGGCCCTAAGTATATAAGTTTGTATAAATTAATAGAAAAATAATTAGGTTACAAATTTTCATTAATTATTAAAAAAATAAATAAATTACTGGTAACTCACTTGGACTCCACGACGCAAGTCGCAAACTTCAGTTTTTTTGACTTGCTGCTCGCCATGTCCACGTCAATTCAACCCTCGCTACTTATTTTATTTTAATTTATGCCCTGTTTGGTTGACATTATTTTTAAAAAAATATATTTTTAAATAATGATTTGATATCATTTTAACTACACATTATTCAATAAAATAATATTACACGTAAATCTGAAATTTTCCTTATTTTTTAACCATAAAATTTTCATCAATACATTATTCAAAAATGGATTCTTATGAAAATAATTTGACTCAAACAAGGGCTTGATTAAACCCTAAAAGTGGTTCTTGATTATTTTTATTTTAATAGGAAGAGTGATTTCATAAGCGATCAAATATTTTCGTCCTAAGTTCTCAAGGGAAATTAATCTATTATTGCTAAAGTAATTATTATTCAAGATGTGAAGATCCTTCCATTCGACTTTTATTCTTGCCTTTATTCTTGCTTTGATGATTGTGTCTTCAAGTAAACTCTTTACCTTTTACACTCGAAACCCAATCTCCATAAGGTCCATAAAAACAGAAAAAAGTCAATGAATGGAAACCTCTTATAATTTGGAAATACGGTGTTCTACTTTTTGCAGCCTTACACGTCTGTCTTTAAGGGCAAATTGACAACATAATGACTTGGATCAACTTGAATTACAAAAGGTAAAACTTTGTTCGTGACAACAAACAAATTGATATTTCTAAAAATCCCATTTCATGCACTTTTATTTTTTTTTATTTTTTTCAAAATTGGTCATCTGTCCTTCTGTGTTACTCTCTAGGGAAAAAAATAGCATTCAATTCAGTTGTCAAGATTGAGCGTCTAAAATAAGTAGCTCACCTATTTTTAACATTGAGCAACAATATAATTATCGATCTAAATATTTAGAGTACGTGTTGACTTCGTTTTGGATAATATCAAGAGTAATAAATTAAGTCCTAGTTTGATATAGATTAATACTAGATTTTTAGTAAATTTTGATAAAGTTAATGAAATGTGTAAAAAAAATTGTAAATCACATTAAATATATAATCAAAATTAATTGTTAAATTCGACTTAAAATTTTTATCAACTTTTAGTCTACATGAAACATGGATAATACTGCTTTAAAAAAGTTGACTTCTCCAGCAAAGCCTAACATGCTGTTGTTTATTTAGCTTATGTTTGGCCTTCATTTTTTTTAAGAACTCATTTTCAACAGTACGCTCTCAACAAAAATTTACAGGTAAATAAAAAAATTCATTATTTTTTTAACTAAACATCTTTCGAAAAATCACTATTCAAAAACTCATTTTTCCCAAATTTCTATTAAAATGGAGCCCAAACAAGGGCTTGCTTATAAGAACACTTACTTAAAAGTAATTATTTTTCTAATTTAGGCAAACAAGCACATCCAATTCCAAACATCAAATTCTAGTTGTAATGGAGGGTTTATCGACGTTTTGTCATTGCCTACTTGCCCCTTCCTAGGATACGTTTCCCTCTCTCTCTCTCTCTCTCTCTCTCATAATATTATATTGCACACACACAAACATTTGCTCTCTCTCACACACACGACACGCTCTATAAATTCTGTCACTGAGCACTCTACCTGTCCGCAGCTCCAAATGACTCTCAAACCCGAATCCCAATGCCAAACCCGTTCACGAGCTCGAACCCGGATCCGTTCTTGTCGCCTCTCCCCGTGTTGCCGCCACCCCGATGACCCGGTCACCGGCATCTGCGCTTCTTGCCTTCGTGAACGACTATCCGACCTGGATTCATCTGCCGCCGCCATTGCTGCCTCCTTCTCGCCGGAGCTCCGTCGCTGCAGGTCAATGTCCACTTCCAAATGCGAAGCTTCCTGTAGCAGCTTCAACGAGCAGCGGCGCAAGTCATACGACGTTAGGTCGGATCGGAGCTCCCTGGCTCATCTGTTCGGTGATGATGACGAAAAGAATGGATCCAATAGCTGCTCCAAAGTTGAATCGAAGAATTTGGGGCTTTCGAGAGTTACTTATACCGTGATCGAGGCAAGTGAAGAGAAGAGTAGTAGTGAGGAAATTAGGGTTTCGCGTAATACGTTGGTGGCAGCAGTCGATATGAATGCTGTTGACGATGATGAGGAGGGAGAATTCAAGACAATGAAAGAATACATAGATCTTGAATTTCAGAATAAGAATAATAAATCTAAGGATTTGAGAGGCATTGCTGGAAGTTTATTGGGTGCAGCTTCTGTTTTTACAAAGAAATTGCAGAAATGGAGACAAAAGAATAAGATGAAGAAGGGTAATAATAATAGTAACTGTGAAACAGCCATTAGCCATGGTTGTAATGATGTGTTTTCGAACGGGGAAAAGTCGAGGGAAACTCAATCCGAGATTGGGGGAAGAAGATCTTGTGACACGGAGCCAAGATTTTCGATTGATGCTGGTAGGATTTCATTTGATGAGCCTCGGGCTTCATGGGATGGCTACATGATTGCAAGGACCATTCCAAGGCTTGCTCCAATGTTTTCTGTTGTAGAGAATGGGGTCTTGGGTAATGGAAACAGATTTGAGAATCACAGGTTGTCGGTTGATGGCCCAATGCATTCTATAATGGAGGATGAGACTAGCTCTGGTGGATCAGGTAACTATAATTCAGATTCTTCTTCCATGATGCGAAGTAGAAGTAGTTTTGATCGTTCGAGCTCTGTCAGGAGTTTTGGAAAGAAAACAATGTGTTCAGAGGATCATGGAGTATCTCCTGCGAACTTGAAGTTGGTAATCACGGAGAGGGAATTGAAAGATTGGCACATGAATTCCAATAGAAACGATGCATTGGCGAAGGTTGGATCCATTTCCAAAAGAACTGCTGCTATTGAAAATGTTGGTAACTGGAATGTGCCAAAGAAGTCTTTCAGATGGCTCAAAGTACGCAATGTCTTTAGTTTCAAAACCAAGAACTGCGAAGATAAATCTGAAACTTTCTTTGGAAATGTAATTGATAGCTCAATTGATGACCCCAAGCAAGGGAAGGAGGCTGGTGGAGAAGCAAAAGAAGTGTCAGGTTGGAAGCTTACTCGCAGTAGTAGCGTTGTTGGTTCGAGGAATTCATGTGAAATCCCGGGATCAAGTTATGGTCGGAGGAGTGTTGATAACATTGGTGTACGCCCTTACAAGGGCAGGGAAGAGTTTATGCTGGAGAGAAACTCTAGTGCCAAATATTCATCAATGGATCTTGACAATGGCATAGTGCCATTCTATATGACACCATTGAGGAGCATAAAGGGTGGAAAATGCAACCTGGAGAACTCAAATTCATTCACTGGGAATGTTATGCAGTTGAATTGAACTAAAGGTAGACAGTTGTTCTATTATAAGCTATACATTTCTTGTGACAAATTTTCAAATCTAGTAGCTTAATCATGTTTAATAATGTAGTTTCCATATCTTGTAGCCTTATCTGTAACACAGTAATTATAGTTTCAAGTTTTCTTTCTTTGTTTATTTGAAGGCCTCTTGTTTTGAAAACAACTGTTTTCATCTGTACAACAATATTATTTCCAGTACAGTGGTTCATGCCTAAGCTAGATTGTGAAATACTCTGCCTTTTTTCTTTTTCTTTTTAAGTTTTTGTCGTTCATTTGTGATTAGATTTATAGTACATTTGAACTCTGATTATAAAATTGTGCATATAGGACATCTTCAGAGTTCCAAGAATTTGACTTGTGGGAAGAGCGGGAATGTGAGAGCAGATATATATGGTGTTAATACTACTTAATGCATTCTCATTATATAATTGCATACAGGATGTCACTGAAATCTGGGAGGTTCGCTATCCTGAGTGTGAAGAGCAAGAATGTGAAAGATGATGTTTTGGGTGTTCATAGTTCCTATGCATAATTCTCCAATATTGCATTTTCTGTTTTTTCTTTTCTTTTCTTTGTAATCAGCAGGCAAAAATTAAATTTCAACCCTTGCATAGATTCACAACCTTGTACAAAATAGGGAAAGGCTCTTCCCTGTATGCAGAACGGATACCTTCTTTTATTGAGGATTGAGCATGTATTGAAAACTGTGTTGTAGAATACTTATGCCACAGTTACTTTCAGATTGCTGCAATGTTATGGAAATACTTCCCGCTCGAACCCGGATCCGTTCTTGTCGCCTCTCCCCGTGTTGCCGCCACCCCGATGACCCGGTCACCGGCATCTGCGCTTCTTGCCTTCGTGAACGACTATCCGGCCTGGATTCATCTGCGGCCGCCATTGCTGCCTCCTTCTCGCCGGAGCTCCGTCGCTGCAGGTCAATGTCCACTTCCAAATGCGAAGCTTCCTGTAGCAGCTTCAACGAGCAGCGGCGCAAGTCATACGACGTTAGGTCGGATCGGAGCTCCCTGGCTCATCTGTTCGGTGATGATGACGAAAAGAATGGATCCAATAGCTGCTCCAAAGTTGAATCGAAGAATTTGGGGCTTTCGAGAGTTACTTATACCGTGATCGAGGCAAGTGAAGAGAAGAGTAGTAGTGAGGAAATTAGGGTTTCGCGTAATACGTTGGTGGCAGCAGTCGATATGAATGCTGTTGACGATGATGAGGAGGGAGAATTCAAGACAATGAAAGAATACATAGATCTTGAATTTCAGAATAAGAATAATAAATCTAAGGATTTGAGAGGCATTGCTGGAAGTTTATTGGGTGCAGCTTCTGTTTTTACAAAGAAATTGCAGAAATGGAGACAAAAGAATAAGATGAAGAAGGGTAATAATAATAGTAACTGTGAAACAGCCATTAGCCATGGTTGTAATGATGTGTTTTCGAACGGGGAAAAGTCGAGGGAAACTCAATCCGAGATTGGGGGAAGAAGATCTTGTGACACGGAGCCAAGATTTTCGATTGATGCTGGTAGGATTTCATTTGATGAGCCTCGGGCTTCATGGGATGGCTACATGATTGCAAGGACCATTCCAAGGCTTGCTCCAATGTTTTCTGTTGTAGAGAATGGGGTCTTGGGTAATGGAAACAGATTTGAGAATCACAGGTTGTCGGTTGATGGCCCAATGCATTCTATAATGGAGGATGAGACTAGCTCTGGTGGATCAGGTAACTATAATTCAGATTCTTCTTCCATGATGCGAAGTAGAAGTAGTTTTGATCGTTCGAGCTCTGTCAGGAGTTTTGGAAAGAAAACAATGTGTTCAGAGGATCATGGAGTATCTCCTGCGAACTTGAAGTTGGTAATCACGGAGAGGGAATTGAAAGATTGGCACATGAATTCCAATAGAAACGATGCATTGGCGAAGGTTGGATCCATTTCCAAAAGAACTGCTGCTATTGAAAATGTTGGTAACTGGAATGTGCCAAAGAAGTCTTTCAGATGGCTCAAAGTACGCAATGTCTTTAGTTTCAAACCCAAGAACTGCGAAGATAAATCTGAAACTTTCTTTGGAAATGTAATTGACAGCTCAATTGATGACCCCAAGCAAGGGAAGGAGGCTGGTGGAGAAGCAAAAGAAGTGTCAGGTTGGAAGCTTACTCGCAGTAGTAGCGTTGTTGGTTCGAGGAATTCATGTGAAATCCCGGGATCAAGTTATGGTCGGAGGAGTGTTGATAACATTGGTGTACGCCCTTACAAGGGCAGGGAAGAGTTTATGCTGGAGAGAAACTCGAGTGCCAAATATTCATCAATGGATCTTGACAATGGCATAGTGCCATTCTATATGACACCATTGAGGAGCATAAAGGGTGGAAAATGCAACCTGGAGAACTCAAATTCATTCACTGGGAATGTTATGCAGTTGAATTGAACTAAAGGTAGACAGTTGTTCTATTATAAGCTATACATTTCTTGTGACAAATTTTCAAATCTAGTAGCTTAATCATGTTTAATAATGTAGTTTCCATATCTTGTAGCCTTATCTGTAACACAGTAATTATAGTTTCAAGTTTTCTTTCTTTGTTTATTTGAAGGCCTCTTGTTTTGAAAACAACTGTTTTCATCTGTACAACAATATTATTTCCAGTACAGTGGTTCATGCCTAAGCTAGATTGTGAAATACTCTGCCTTTTTTCTTTTTCTTTTTAAGTTTTCGTCGTTCATTTGTGATTAGATTTATAGTACATTTGAACTCTCATTATAAAATTGTGCATATAGGACATCTTCAGAGTTCCAAGAATTTGACTTGTGGGAAGAGCGGGAATGTGAGAGCAGATATATATGGTGTTAATACTACTTAATGCATTCTCATTATATAATTGCATACAGGATGTCACTGAAATCTGGGAGGTTCGCTATCCTGAGTGTGAAGAGCAAGAATGTGAAAGATGATGTTTAGGGTGTTCATAGTTCCTACGCATAATTCGCCAATATTGCATTTTCTGTTTTTTCTTTCCTTTTCTTTGTAATCAGCAGGCAAAAATTAAATTTCAGCCCTTGCATAGATTCACAACCTTGTACAAAATAGGGAAAGGCTCTTCCCTGTATGCAGAACGGATACCTTCTTTTATTGAGGGTTGAGCATGTATTGAAAACTGTGTTGTAGAATACTTATGCCACAGTTACTTTCAGATTGCTGCAATGTTATGGAAATACTTCCCAGGTGACTCTTAATTAGTCACTTTGTTTCAGTTTGCTTTATGTGCTATTTACATTGCAGAAGAGTTTTTTGAGGTTCGGTGCAATTAGGTCTTAATTACAGTTGACATGTACCTCGAATTTCTGGTGGCCAGAATTTGCAAATTTTCACTTCTTGTGTACCACATGCTAGATTGGACAGCACAATTACGGAACTCTATTTGGAGTGGAATATCGGGTAAAAAGGTGACTGATTCTGCACTGAAATATGGCTTGCCGATGCACTGTAGTCTGTAGAGAAAGGTCTATAGTGCAATTTTCATAAAAATGATGGCCATCATACTTGAATTTACAATTTTTGTGGGTTCTCATACTATCTTGATTTACCCAGTCTAAATTTTAGACTGTTGCATCGGGGAGAAATTTATTTGTTTATTATTTATGTTTAACATCTTTCATTTATGTCGTTTTAAATAGTATTCATCAATGTTGAAAAGGAAATGATAAATCGAATTTAAAAATTGGTGAGCCCACCATTAGTAGTTTCAAGAACATACTAGGTTGGTACACTGCACTTAGGGGTGGCAAACAGGCTCGGCCCATGGACGGCTTGAGCTCGTTTTAAGACGAGCCATGGGTCAAGACGTCCATGGGCCAAGCTGAGCTCACATTTTTTCACGAGTCGAGTCCACTTGGCTCATGAGGCCCTCGAGTTGGTGCATTTGGGTTTGTGGACTCTTTTTCTTCTCATTTTTGGATTTGTTTTATCATTTCTTTAGAAAATTTCTCTTTTTAGGCTTATGTTGTTAATTTATTTAGCCTATGTTTGAGGTCCATTTAAAAGATTTATTTTTTTTCTTGGGAAAAATGAGTTTTGAAATAATGATTTTTCGAAAATGTGTGATTAAAAATTAAGAAAAAATTTTGGATTTATATGCAAATTATTTTATCGTGAGAATGTACGGTTGAAAATGAGTTATAGAAAAAAATAGTTTGAAGAATGGTAGACAGACGGGGGCTTAAAAAAAACGAGTTGGCCTATGGGCAATTTGGATCATTTGAGCTTGCTGGCTGGTCAACTCATTTGGGCTCATGGGCGACTCAGTTCATGAGGCCCACGAGCCAAAGGCCAAGCCGATCCTAAGAGCTATGGCCGAGTGGGCATTGACACCCCTATTTGCAATAGACAATAGACATTACTGAACAGGATCGAAGGAAAAATAATAATAATTAGATATTAGCAATGTTGTACAGCATCAACGAAGAGTTCGTGACACGACCCGTCCCGATCACCCTAATGGATCCGACACGTGTCGTGCGCCGATGGTAGATACCAGCGAAATGCCGAACCCACCACCAAGGCAAACTTGACATGCTTTGACTGTTATAATTTTATAAAAATTTCGGCAGAGTTTCCTCTGAAAAATGGACTAAAATCACCTGAAAATAAAATCAAAAATCCCAAACATATACACATACTTTAAAATAGGGTACACCGGCCCATCAAAATACCAATTCTTCAAGTAGTTGTACTGAAAAAGAAATTTACCATTTTTTACCACCAAAGCACTTCATTTCAAAACATACACAAAATATGCAATGGGTATGAGACTTAATACATTTTTGACACAAAATACATTAATCCCCAAAATATATGTTGTATGAATTAACAAAATGAGACGTACAAACAATGACACGATGAAGCTCAACTCGTCGAATGACAGGCTCTGATATGACTCAACGCAGCTTCTATCTGATAAGAAATGAGGTGACAAAAATATGAGCTTGCGACTCAGTGAGTGGATATTTGTAAAAGTATACTTTAACATTTATAACACCTTTTTGACACTAGTATATAGTAAAAATTTCCTTTCACAATACGTTAACTAAAATTTTCATTCTTTCAACTGAATCAACTAAATACTGTAAAATCTATTTCTAAAATCTGATAAGCTATGTAATACTGAAGCATCACACCAAAAATGTACCCTAAATAACCATACTCGTGTAACGATTAATCTCGATATACATAGCAAGGTCATTAAATTCTGAAATTCTGTAATTCTGAAATTCTGGTCATACGCGCGCAGAGCTATAAAGTGGTCATATACTATGGAAACACATTCACAATAGTGCAGAGCGGGTAAAATCACTATACTGATCATACAATGTGGAAACACATTCACACTAGCGCAGAGTGGGTAAAATAACCATATGAAGTCATACACTGTGGAAACACATTCACACCAGTGCAGACGAGGTAAAATCACATGGGTACTTTCTGGTGGTTTTTAAAAATAACTTGAAATATTCTGAAATACGTAATATCGATAAAACATGCTAATGAAATGATTTAACTGAACTGAATCAAACTTTAAAAAAAACATCTTATTGTAAATCAAATTTATTCTGAAAATTATGCTATCAAATCAACTGTATGAAATAATAGATTTTCTGATTTAATATAAATTGAATAAATACTTATTGCTGTAAAATTAATTTTCATCCACTCATTCAATACGAGCTACAGACTAGGTCGGTCGGTAAGCTTTGCCAATTTCTTCGTCACCACCTGTAATACGTAACAAAATGACTAATCAACCACTATTAAATTAAGAAACTTTAAGATCTACTTCTATAATGCTTAACTAAAATTGGTCGATACTCGAATGAATTTCCCAAATATTCTTTTGATCAATGGAGCTAATCCCACTTTCTAATCCCTTTTCTAATAACTAATTCATCAACAAAACCTTTTTCTCAAGTTAAAACTAATTTTACTTTCCAATTTAATGAAGCTAGTGACCATAATTTCCACCCATCTAATATACATTTGCTCCATAAAATCAACTCCCAGGTGAAATATTCCATTTATATAATCACTTCCACAATTAATTAATTAAAATCCCCAAAATCGGATTCTAGGGTTTCCAAAAAATTCACTGCCTAAACACCTTGTTAAAACTGAAACATAATTAATCCCTAAGCTTGAGCTCCAAATCGCACATATATCACATAAATTTAACATTTTATTATTACACGATAAAACCCTAAAAATTTTAATATAAACCATACTTAATCACCTAAAACAAATGGAAAATTTCAACCCAAACTTGGAGATATCAACTTTACCTGTTTTCCTGTTCTTTTTCTCTTCTTCTTTTTCTCTTTTTTTTCCTTCTTCTTTTTCCCTTCTTTTTCTTTCCTTCTTGGCCGGTTCTGCTTCTTCCCGTTTTTAGTGTGTGTGTGTGTGTGTGAAATTGGGTGAAAATTTGGTCAAATGGTTGAATATATTGTCCAAAATCCAAAATTTGCATAATAAGTCCATTAACTTCACTTTTTAGTAACATTTAATCCTTTAACTTCCAAAAGTATATATATAAATTCCAAACTTTTAAATATATCCAATTCAACCTTTATATTTTGTCAATTGCAAAATAAACCCAAATAAAATGATTTGGTCAATCAAGTCCCAATAAAAATGATTTATTTCATACAAGTCCTAATTGGACTTGACTTTGAAAATTTCACTATTGACTTTGACTAGTAGCTGGGATACTCATTTGTCATTGATGGAGTTTGCTTACAATAACAGTTACCACTCTAGTATAGAAATGGCTCCTTTTGAAGCTTTATATGGTCGAAAGTGCAGGACACCAGTTTGTTGGGATGAAGATGGTAAGAGGAAGTTGAAAGCCCCGGAATTGGTTCAAATGACATCTGAAAATGTGAAATTGATTAAAGAAAAGTTGAAAGCAGCTCAGGATAGCCAGAAAAGTTATACGGATAAGCGCAGGAAAGACCTTGAGTTTGCAGTAGGAGATAAAGTTTTTCTTAAATTATCTTCTTGGAAAGGGGTGTTGAGATTTGGCAAGCGAGGAAAGTTGAGTCCCCGATATATTAGACCTTATGAGATTATTGAGCGGATTGGTCCAATTGCATATCGATTAGATCTGCCCAATGAATTATCCCGGATCCATGATGTTTTTCATGTTTCCATGCTTCGCAAGTACAGTGCTGATCATTCTCATGTTCTAGAGTCTCAGCCAATTCAGTTGAAGGAGAATTTGACTTATATAGTAGAGCCAGTGAAAATCTTAGACAAGAAAGTGCAAACCCAACAAAACCAGACAGTTTCACTTGTTAAAGTACTTTGGCAGAATCATACAGTAGAAGAGGCTACATGGGAGAATGAGGATCAGATGCGTGCTCAATATCCTCGTTTATTCATTGCCTAATCAGTTGCTAGTTGAATTTCGAGGACGAAATTCTTTTAAGGAGGTAAGATTGTTACAACCCACATTTTTATCTAGTCAAAGTCAATAGTGGAATTTTCAAAGTCAAGTCCAATGAAGACTTGTATGAAATAAATCATTTTTATTGGGACTTGATTGACCAAATCATTTTATTTGGGTTTATTTTGCAATTGGCAAAATATGAAGGTTGAATTGGATATATTTAAAAGTTTGGAATTTATATATATACTTTTGGAAGTTAAAGGATTAAATGTTACTAAAAAGTGAAGTTAAGGGACTTATTATGCAAATTTTGGGTTTTGGACAATATATTCAACCATTTGACCAAATTTTCACCCAATTTCACACACACTAAAAACGGGAAGAAGTAGAACAGGAAAGAAAAAGAAGAAAAAAAAAAAGAGAAAAAGAAGAGGAAAAAAGGTAAGGTTGATATCTCCAAGTTTGAGTTGAAATTTTCCATTTGTTTTAGGTGATTAAGCATGGTTTTTATTAAAATTTTTAGGGTTTTATCACGTAATAATAAAATGTTAAATTTATGTGATATATGTGCGATTTGGAGCTCAAGCTTAGGGATTAATTATGTTTCAGTTTTAACAAGGTGTTTAGGCAGTGAAATTTTTGGAAACCCTAGAATCCGATTTTGGGGATTTTAATTAATTAATTGTGGAAGTGATTATGTAAATGGAATATTTTACTTGGGAGTTGATTTTATGGAGCAAATGTATATTAGATGGGTGGAAATTATGGTCACTAGCTTCATTAAATTGGAAAGTAAAATTAGTTTTAACTTGGGAAGAAGGTTTTGTTGATGAATTAATTATTAGAAAGTGGGATTAGCTCCATTGATCAAAAGAATATTTGGGAAATTCATTCGAGCATCGACCAATTTTAGTTAAGTATTATAGAAGTAGATCTTAAAGTTTCTTAATTTAATAGTGGTTGATTAGTCATTTTGTTACGTATTACAGGTGGTGACGAATAAATTGGCAAAGCTTACCGACCGACCTAGTCTGTAGCTCGTATTGAGTGAGTGGATGAAAATTAATTTTACAGCAATAAGTATTTATTCAATTTATATTAAATCAGAAAATCTATTATTTCATACAGTTGATTTGATAGCATAATTTTCAGAATAAATTTGATTTACAATAAGATGTTTTTTTAAAGTTTGATTCAATTCAGTTAAATAATTTCATTAGCATGTTTTATCGATATTACGTATTTCAAGTTATTTTTAAAAACCACCAGAAAGTACCCATGTGATTTTATCTCGTCTGCACTGGTGTGAATGTGTTTTCACAGTGTATGACTTCATATGGTTATTTTACCCACTCTGCGCTAGTGTGAATGTGTTTCCACAGCGTATGATCGGTATAGTGATTTTACCGGCTCTGCACTATTGTGAATGTGTTTCCATAGTGTATGACAATTTTATAGCTTTGCGCGCGTATGACCAGAATTTAATGACCTTGCTATGTATATCGAGATTAATCGATACACGAGTATGGTTATTCAGGGTACATTTTTGGTGTGATGCTTCAGTATTACATAGCTTATCAGATTTTAGAAATAGATTTTACAGTATTTAGTTGATTCAGTTGAAAGAATGAAGATTTTAGTTAACGTATTGTGAAAGGAAATTTTTACTATATACTAGTGTTCAGAAAGGTGTTATAAATGTTAAAGTATACTTTTACAAATATCCACTCACTGAGTCGCAAGCTCATATTTTTGTCACCTCATTTCTTATCAGATAGAAGCTGCGTTGAGCCATATCAGACCCTGTCGTTCGACAAGTTGAGCTTCATCGTGTCATTGTTTGTATGTCTCATTTTGTTAATTCATACAACATGTATTTTGTGTCAAAAATGTATTAAATCTCATACCCATTGCATATTTTGTGTATGTTTTGAAATGAAGTGGTTTGGTGGTAAAAAAGGTTAAATTTCTTTTTCAGTACAACTATTTGAAGAATTGGTATTTTGATGGGCCGGTGTACCCTATTTTAAAGTATATGTTTGGGATTTTTGATTTTATTTTCAGGTGGTTTTAGTCCATTTTTCAGAGGAAACTCTGCCGAAATTTTTATAAAATTATAACAGTCAAAGCATGTCAAGTTTGCCTTGGAGGTGGGTCCGGCATTTCACTGGTATCTACCATCGGCGCACGACACATGTCGGATCCATTAGGGTGATCGGGACGGTTCGTCTTAGTTCGCATAGCCCTTTTCTATGTATATCTCTTTGCTACAGCAACGAAGCTCCCGAGCTTAGAAAACTCAGGACAGCTGGTAGCAAAAAGAAGTAATGGAGGTGCCATGGTTCAAATTGTCTGCCATCCATCCAGTGTTCCATGCCTAGTACAGATTTCTGTAACAATAGTCAGTATCAAAGAGCTCGCATAGCTTCTCATAGCATCAGTTGTTAAGGACAGGGCTGAACACAAAATTCTCATAGAAAGGTGCTTGTTCATAAAAGAATTCTAGTTTCTCTTATGTTTGTGATTACTTCTGCATAACCTATATGAAATACTGCAAGATTTGCCAGAATAATGAGATGGGCTCTTGTTTTGTGTTATACAGGTTTTGTCTTCATACAATTCCTAGTCGAACGACATCAAGAATTACTGCAGATGTCATAGCAAAGATTGATATGAAAAGCCCCACCCGCATATGCTGCAACTGTGTCAAACCATTCTTATTGCCTGAGAATTTTCTTGCTTTCGGAACCAGGATTTGATCATAGACTGGAACCCAGAAAATGATGCTTGAGAGTGTCGAAAATGCCTAGGGATGCTTGTAGGATGTCGAAACTGCCCAGTTTTGTGTGCATGTTCCTTGTAACAAAAACAAGTTGCCCATTTGTCCATACGCTGTGCTGAAAATAATGCCTGTAGCCCATATGGGTAGTAATCTGATAATTGATTTCAGTTCTTCATCTTGTGTAACATTGCAGTCTCCATGGATCTATAGAGTACTATTATGATCCCATTGCTATATCATTGCTGCTTTATCAAAGAATCTGAAATTTAACAAAGTTATCAGACTAGAAACTGCATTTTTCAAGAAGTCGCTCAATTATTTGGGTGAATAAGTCCGCCATGAAAGTAGATAATTGTTTCTTGATGATTTACCCAATAAGGCTTGTAAAGACTCGTCTCAAGTTCCCCCAACTTGCTTACCAAGTGTAAGGAAATTGATTGTCTTAACAGAAGTCAAGTGTAATCTTATATATATATAAATATATATATGAGGGGTTGGATTGCATGAAGATGTTGGTTCGGGAGTTGAGTACATTAATAATGGTCATCATACTTTCAGGTAGTTTGTTAAAAAAAAAAATAATTCAAATGTGTATTATGGATGAAATAGAAATACAGATACATGTTCAATATGCTGGACTAGATTAAACTAGATAAGATTAAAAATTAGATGTGACAAAATTTGTTGGTTATCCTGTCTTTATCTTAATCAATCCAACTTATTAAACACACATCCACAGTAGAACGGCAGATACCAAAGTTCACCCATGTGATCAAGCTCGTGGCTGCCTACCATGATGGATTCTGCATTTGAAGTCTTGTATAGAAGAGACTTGCCGTGAGTACATTAATAAAGGTCATCATACTTTTAGGTAGTTTGTTAATAAAATAATGAATTCAAGTTGTGTATTACGGATGAAATAGAAACACAGATACATGTTCAGTATGCCGGACTAAATAAAACTAGAAAAGATTAAAAATGAGACGTGACAAAATTTGTTAGTTATGTTGTCTTTATCCCAATCAATACAACTTACTAATCACACATCCACAATAGAAGGGCACATACCAAAGTTCACCTGTGTGATTAACGGATTCTGCATTTGAAGTCTTGTATAGAAGAGACTTGCCTTGAGTACTTTAATGAAGGTCATCATACTTTCAGGTAGTTTGTTAAACAAATAATGAATTCAAGTTGTGTATTACGGATGAAATAGAAATACAGATACATGTTCAGCATGTTGGACTAGATAAAACTAGACAAGATTAAAAATGAGACGTGACAAAATTTGTTAGTTATCTTGTCTTCATCCTAATCAATCCAACTTATTAAACACACATCCACAGTAGAAGGGCACATATCAAAGTTCACCTGTGTGATCAAGCTCGCGGCTGCCTACTGTAACGGATTCTGCATTTGAAGTCTTGTATAGAAGAGACTTGCCATCAGGTATCACAACTCGGGTTCTTCTCAGGGCGGCTACCACCACCTTGCAGAGACGAGTAAGAAGGTTGCCACCGGGTTTCTGGTACTGATATAATCGAGTACCCGAAAAGAAAAAGGTCACACGTATTGCCATAGCCACAGCAGGAATACCAAATCCTTATCTCCAACCAATGTTAACTTGTAACCAAACTAGCATAGAAAAGGCTATGAGTGCACCCAATATTGATTGAAAAATGGAACCAACTGAAGAAAGAACTTTTGAACTTCTTTTCAGCCTCATGAGTGTCATCAAATTGATCTGCACCGTAGGATGAGACAAATGGCTTAATCCCACCGGTTCCAAGTGCTAGCAGATAGAATGCAAGAAAACAGACAGTTGTTTGAGCATGTGTTGCAGAGACAGACATCTTTCTTCGATCAGGTTGCCAGGGACTGTTGCTGATACATTCCCTGTTGATAGAAAATTACTTATTTTCAGATTAAACCAGCACAAAAATTAATGAAACTAATAAGTGAACGTTTTAATCTTAGCCAAACACGTGCTATATTGTTTGCAATCACAACATACTATATTAGACAGAACTTACGATAACATGGATGATAAAATACTTGCAATAGTCCAATATCTTCCAAAATATGCATCAGCAAGAAATGCTCCAAGTAATGGCAAGTTCCCCACCAATTTGACAAATTTTCCGAAGTGGTGACACCATGTTGATTGAATTGGTTTGTGAAACAAAGCAACGAATTGGAGCTCATTCCATAGTATGCTAATCTTTCGTAATATTCATTTTCCAGCAGAAAAAATTTCAAGAATCAGCAAGCAGTGTAATTCTCAAAACAATGCTGTAATTTGGAATTAAACAAATAAAATTTAGATGACATTGACGGAACATGTTTAATTCTCAAATTCCTTACACAAATCTTCAATTGATTATCGCGCAAAAAATCTAGAATGATTCACAAATGCTGCCGTTTTTCCGTATATCTCCATTTCTTAATTCCAATGTCCACCGATAGCTCCTTTTTTAAACCCTGAAAATCCAATTTTTTCCAATTCAACCGCCCAAAAACTCCTCCAATTGTGCCTGTGTGTTTGTCTTTTGCCTCAATTTTTAGCTGCCACCTTCTTCCTCTCAGTGTGTATGCGCGTATGTATAATTCCTCTTTAATTCCCCCACAGTTGCTACATTTTTGTTGAAAAAAGGAGTCCAAGTGGAGTGGTACTTTTTATTCAAATTCAGGCGCCCACTTTTTGTCTACAAACAAGAATCAAATCCCTTTACACTTATCATCCATTGCAACTGGTCTAGGCCCAGTTAATTGTAATTTATCTTCCAAGGCTCCGCTTCATTCCATTAATATACTTTAATCCTCGAATTTAATTAATTTTCCTACTCATGTATTTCTTTACTTCACTTCAAGTCCTTAAATTTTTGAAGTATGGAATTTAATCCCCAACATTGCATCCAATAGCCATTTGATCCTTACTTCTTTTCCCATTACTTTGGAACGGGTCCAACACTGAATTAAAAGAAAATCAATTAAGTAAAATTTGATACATTGATGATATAAAAGTTTAGTAATATAGTTCAAATAAGCCCACAAAATGCACTTACCAATTATTCTCATCTTTTTCGATGGCAAGAGGCATATTCTCGATTTTATATGTTCCTTTGTTTGGAAATTTTAGAAATGATCTTGGGCCCGTAATGGACAGGAGTTATATTGCACACTTGTTGAGATGAAGTTGTCACATCAGCAAGTCAAACCTTTTTTCTTTTAAAAAAGTTCAGAAAATATGGCTTGATCAAGGTGGGCAATTGTTATCCTGTTCACTGTAGAAAAAAGATCAGCAAGAATTATGTGAATGACTAAAAAGAATACATACTTAAAAACAGACAAAGATAAAGAAATATATTATTTCTTGATTAACTTCAATTTCAAGGTACTTAAAAAAAATAAATCCGAACTCTCTTATATAGAGAATCATTACAACAAAATTAAAACCCTTAATTGAGCTACTAATTTTTAAAAGCAATTAAATCTAATATTAAAGAAAGAACCATAAAATTAGCCAACTATCCGTCTCCATGGTAGAGATTTTTTAAACTCGAAATATTTCCTAGTCTATTTTTAATTCCACTTGGTTCATCATAATTTCACTCTATCCTGGAATCAAAATGTTTAATTTTATGGAACCTGAACAAGGTGTTCATAACAATTATGTTGACACATCACGACGGGACAAATTTTATCATATGTTTCTTTGAATCTGTCGAGTCATCCAGTGCAACTAAGAATTACTATTTCTTACAAACGTTGTCTTACATTTCATTACCTAAATGCAGAGGTCATCAAAATCGACACAGCCATTGACAAACAACAAAACTAAGCCATATTTTCAATAAATTTGAAGTCGATTACATAAATCTTTTCATGATCACATTGCGAAGAAGGATGTAAAATTAATAGAACTTAACCTGGTACACTTCAAAATCCTGCAAAAAAACCACCTCTGGTGTGAACCCCAAAGAACTATATACCTTGAACACATCTAGCATTTCTTGAAACTATTCGAGGACAACAAGGTTTTTAAACTTAAAGACTGAAACAAGCTGTAGCCTTTTTAGGGTCACATGAACTATCGAACTCCTATTTTTCAACGTCTCTCATTCATAAATGAGGAGTTTGAAGTGAATCCAATTATAAAGAAGTGAGAAAAAAAAATTGAAATGGGAAAGCAAGGACATGGAAATGTAAACAATACAATGACAATATTTAACTTATTTTCGTTAACTATGTTCATCGTTTAGTCTAATTAAGAGATCAAATTTGATACTATCATGCATTTTGGCTCTCGAAACACTTACGTAGCATTCCAACAATTTCTCCCACTCCTCTAAAGCCAACGGGAGTAGTGTTGATGCTTCCACAGGCATATAACTTTGGAGAGAACAAATCAAAGACAATGCTACACGTACCGAATTTTGTACCGAATCTTTTACCCACTACTCACAACTGGGTGGGGACCATGGACATTTGTAAATTCACGTGTAACCCACTATACATCGTGAAAAGAGGGGGGGGGGGCACCATTCAGTAAACCCCTCTGTACATATATATTTATCCAATCAAAAGAACCACAAATCAAGAGGTGCATGTTTACCTTGCATTTGAACCAATAAAGTTACAATTGCCTTCTCATCATGGAAGAATTCAGATCCAAATTCATAATAAATGGAAATCTCCGAACAGCCAGTTATTTGTCTTTGGAGCGGTCCAATTTAGTCTTTGAACGTCATAATCATTAAGAAGATGTTTTGTATACAATACAACAAACAAGATTATAACTTATTTTTCTTCCATGATCTTGAATCATGTGCGCTGCTGTCCAACCAAGAATACCATCACATACCATCACTTCAGTTCGAATTCCCATTGTTTTCACATGTTAACCCAAAGCCAAAAGGAAATAAGGGGTCGTACGAATCCTGCTTTCCAATGTGCAATGGCAGTTGATCAACGCTCTTAAACCACGTCATTGGAAGTCGTCCATGAAATGTGTAATCTCCAAAGATAACATCTGTGATTCCCTGGCATTCACTTCCAGGCAACCAAGCAACAACCAGAGCGTCTATCTTTTCCAATAGCCATGGCTCCAACACTAAAGGCCTTCCAGTGATTAGAATTACCAATGTGGGGACTCTATCAGCGACTAAGCTTACCAATTCTGCACCGTTAAAAGGAATTTTGAGCTCTGGATCGTCGCCGCCTGTTTCAACATATGGAGCTTCGCCAACGGCTATTACAGCATAGGAAAAATCTTGACCAGAAAATGTTTCTTGAGAAGGATTTTGCTCGTATGTGACTTCTGTTTCACTTCCCACGACTTCTTTGATTGCATCCAAAATAGTCGTGCCTGAAAAATCAAAAGATTTCATAGTTCAACTCCCAAAATTTATATGAATCTAAAATCAAAATTTAGATTTTTCTTTTATCTTTGTTGTTCAATAAGCTGCAATTAACCTTTTTCCCTTATAATGATTTTTATCAAAAAAGGAATTCAACAAGGGTTAAGTTAAAAAAAACAGAACTTTTCAAAAGAAAAACAAGGAAACTAAAGTTTGCTGCAAAACTTCTACATAAAATTATACAAAATCACAAAAATAATCCCCATAAAGATTATAAAAGAGGAATAAGCTCATCTTTGAAAGATGATCAACATGGATTACTCATGACGCTCGGCAGACATGATAGCGTGATTAATATTCGAGATTATGCATGCATAAATAGTAATAAATCTAAATCCTGGTGTCTCCAAAGTCCAAACTGGAAACTTGTACGTTGTATAGAGTGTATTGGTAGCATTTAAACCCTGATAAACTTGATATAACACCCTTACCATCTGTGATTCTGCCACTCGTTCCTTCCCATGTAGCCGTCCACCCTCCGCACAGATATCCAAGATCATCAGCATGTGTTCCAGCAACGAGGATTCTCTTAGCATTCTTGTCTAAGGGGAGAAAAGGAATCTTTTGATCCTTTCCATTCTTTAGCAAAACCAAGGACTTGCGAACTGCTTCACGTGCCAATTCTCTATGTGGCTGAAACAACAGATATGATCAAGAAATATATTTCAGATCCCAACTTTGCCTCAAAATACTAAACGATAATATTCCCATCAGAAGTCGAATTGAGTTATTTAAGGAAACAGACGATAAAAGGTCCAACCACTGATAATCCTTCATAAATTTTAAGCCCTTACTGTGTGTCAACAAGAAGGACAATGCCTACATGGTCAAACTACGAAGTAGGAAGGTAAAGTTAGTTATCTCACGATATGTTACTAGAATCTAGGAAGATGATACGAGTCAATATCCATTCGGCATGTAGTTTTATTAAACCAAAATAACGAGTCAATCAAATCCTGACTTGATTCAAAGTGTCATCACTATGATTAATTATGACATAATAACTTTGCAAGTTCTAGAAAGAGATAAACCCAAAATAGATCAACATGGTAAGGATTGACGATGCATTATTTTTTTTATGATGGCAATCAAATTATGTCCATGAGGCATCTATAGAAGGGGAAATACCTTGCAACCAACCACATCCAACAAAGATCTATCACCCCGAGGATACTCAAAAAGTCCAGCAACAAATTTGACTCTAAGAATCCTCTCAACAGCATCATCAATCCTGGCCAGCGGTATCTCCCCTGATTCCGCAAGAGACAAAAATTCTTCCAGAAATAATTCAAATCTAAAAGGCACCATGACCTGAAAAACTCAGTGAAGCAAAAAGAGACAAAATCTGTCAAGTAACTCCAAATTGTATTAGGCTTTATGCATTGAGGTGTAATATCTACCATATCAATTCCTGCATTGATGGTGGACAAAATGCTCTGACGGTAGTTTGAGCCATGAGGAACATATAGCCGGTCCAGTGCTTCCCAATCTGAAATCACAAAGCCCTGCAGTAGAATATTGCTTATATAATCATTCAAACTCTCTGCAGCATCTACTTTCACTTATTTTAGAGAGAAAAAAATCGAAGGGCTCTAACAGACTTGAATGTATCAGTATACTGGAAAAGAGAAGGCAGATTAAGCACGATCTAGAATCTTTTGTTGGATTTTGATATCCAATAAATCTGGGCAATAATTTAAAACAGATGTCTGACATGATACACTTGACTCGACTTGGAAATGGCCAACAATTTGGATGGCCCATGTTGTGGTTTGATTTGTTCAATGGTGATATGTATTGGCCCAATTTAGGTTAGTTGTGGTCTTTGTTGTGGTAGCCCATTTGCCTTGGTTTAGTTGGCCCAATTTTTATTTCTTGGCCCAAGTTGGTGACCTAACCAAATTATATATATATCCATCCCTTGCCTGTGAATAACAGTGTGTGTGTATTGTGCAAAAAGAAACGAGAGAGGGGGGGGGCCTGGATTGGGGGGAGGAATTGGGAGAGATTTCTACCATTGTTACTTCTTCTTCTTCCTACTCTTGCTAATGCCACCACCATCCTTCTCGTTTGTGGGTTGAGAGAACGTGTGGCAACCAAAGTGGAGGTGAGGTTTTGGGTCGTGCTTAGGTGGTTGTGGTGTTCTTTTGATGGTTTTTCTGAGCCCAAAATCGAGGTGAAGATTTGTTAGGTTTTAATGCCCAATAAATTTGGACGATGATTAAAAATAAATGCTGAATAATTTATCGACCCCATAGACTTGACTTGACACAAAAAGACCAACATTTTGGATGGCCCATGTTGTGGTTGGATTTATTGGATGGTGATATGTATTGGCCCAATTTAGGTTACTTGTGGTCTTTGTTGTGGTTGCCCATTTAACTTAGTTTAGTTGGCCCAATTGTTATTTCCTGGCCCAAGTTGGTGACCTAACCTAATTATATATATCCATTCCTTGCCTACGAATAACTGTGTGTGTATTGTGCAAGAAAGATAGGGCATCTGAATTATGGGGTGGGGGGAAGCGGGGAATTAGGAGAGAC